ACTCAATAAAATACTAGCAAACCGGATTAAAGAATACATCAGAAAAATCATCCACCATGATCAAGTAGGCTTCATCCCAGGAATGCAGGGATGGTTCAACATTAGAAAATCTATGAATGTAATCCACCATATAAACAAACAGCAAAAGAAAAACTACATGATCATCTCACTAGATGCTGAAAAAGCCTTTGACAAAATCCAGCACACCTTCATGATAATGGTCCTAGAGAGATCAGGGATAACAGGAACATACCTGAACATAATAAAAACATTATACAGTAAACCAACAGGTAACATCAAACGAAATGGAGAGAAACTCAACACAATTCCTCTAAAATCAGGAACAAGACAAGGCTGTCCACTCTTTCCATATCTCTTCAATATTGTACTTGAAGTTCTAGCTACAGCAATAAGACAACAAAAGGAGATCAAGGGGATACAAATAGGAAAACAAGAAGTCAAGCTTTCACTATTTGCAGATGATATGATAGTTTACATAAGTGACCCAAAAAACCCCGCAAGGGAACTCTTAGAGCTGATAAACACCTTCAGCAAAGATGCAGGATACAATTGTAACTCAAAAAAAATCAGTGGCCCTATTATATACAGATGATGAAGTGGCTGAGAAAGAAATCAGAGAAACATCACCCTTTACAATAGCTATAAACAGCATCAAATATATGGGGATAATGTTAACCAAGGAAGTGAAAGACCTTTATATCAAGAACTTTGAGTCTTTAAAGAAAGAAATCAAAGAGGATACCGGAAAATGGAAAGATCTCCCATGCTCTTGGATTGGTAGGATCAACATAATAAAAACGACAATCTTACTAAAATCAGTCTACAGATTCTATGCAATCCCTATCAAAATTGCAGCACAATTCTTCATAGACCTTGAAAGAACAATAATCAACTTTATATGGAAAAACAAAAGGCCCAGGATAGTCAAAACAACCCTATACAAAAAGGAACTTCAGAGGGCATCACTATACCTGACTTCAAGCTCTATTATAGAGTCATAGTCCTGAAAACAGCTTGGTATTGGCACAAAATTAGGCAGGTATACCAATGGAACTAAATTGAAAACCCTGATTTTAACCCACACTCCTATGAACACTTGATTTTTGACAAAGAAGCTAAAACTATACAATGGAAAAAAGAAAGCATCTTCAACAAATGGTGCTGCCATAACTGGGTATTGATATGCAGAAGACTGCAGATAGATCCATGTTTATCACCTTGTACAAAACTTAAGTCCAAATGGATCAAAGATCTCAACATAAATCCAACCACACTGAAACTCTTAGAAGAGAAAGTGGGAGATACTCTTCGACGAGTTAGGAGATCACTTCCTGAACATAACACCAGTGGCACAGACACTGAGATAGACAATTAACAAATGGGACCTCCTGAAACTAAAAAGCTTCTGTAAGGCAAAGGACACAGTCAACAAGACAAAAAAGCAGTCCACAGAATGGGAAAAGATATCCAATAACCCCGCATCTGACAGAGGGCTGATCTTCAAAATTTCAAAGAACTCAAGAAGCAAGTCTCCAAAACACCAAAGGATCCAATTAAAAAGTGGGGTACAGAACTAAATAGAGAATTCTCAATAGATGAGTCTAAAATGGCCAAGAGGCACTTAAGAAAGTGCTCAACATCCTTAGCCATCCAGGAAATGCAAATCAAACAACTTTGAGATACCATCTTATTCCTGTCAGAATGGCTAAAATCAAAAACACCAATGACAATTTATGCTGGAGAGGATGTGGAGAAAGGGGACACTCCTCCACTGCTGGTGGGAGTGACAACTCATACAGCCACTTTGGGGATTCCTCAGAAAAATGGGAATAAGCCTACCACAAGCCCCAGTAACTCCACTCTTAGGCATATATCCAAAAGATTCACATTCATACAACAAGGATATCTGTTCCACTATGTTCATAGCAGCATTATTTTTAATAATCTTGGAAGCAACCTAGATGCCCCTCAACCGAAGAGTGGATAGAGAAAATGTAGTACATTTACACAGTGGAGGACTATTTAGCAGAAAAAAACAATGGAATCCTGAAAATTGCAGGCAAATGGATGGCACTAGAAGAAATCATCCTGAGCAAGGTAACCCAGTCACAAAAAGAGAAACACGGCATGTACTCTTTCATATATGGATTTTAGACATAGATCTGGGGAGTGCCAGCCTACAATCCCATGGCCAGACAGTCTGGGAAACAGAAACTTCATTCAGTGGCTGATGGAAGCAGAGGCAGACATCCATAGCTAAACACTGACTTGAACTCAAGAAATCCAGTGACAGAGAGAGGACTGATGACTGGGCTGGTTTAATCCCCAGAAACAGCTGACCTGACAAGGGTTAGCTCTTGAATCCCAGACTGATGCCTGGGAACCCAGCGTGGGGCTGATCAAGACCTCCCTGATTGTGGGTGTCAGTGAGAAGGCCACCTTTCTTTCTCTTGCTTTTTTTAAATTTTATTTTTAAATTTGAATTTAAATTAGAACCAAGTTTGCTTCACATGTCAATTCTAGGTCCCTCTCCCTTCCCCTCCCCTCCTCCCACACCCTCCAACCAACCCCTCCAATAACCCCTCACTTCCCCAGGGAGGGTGAGCCCCTCCATGGGGAGTGTCCATAGTCTGTCATTTCATCCAGGGCAGGGCCTAGACCCTTCCCCAAGAGTCCAGAGTGAGAGTGCATCATTTATTGTAGGATGGCAAGGAAGTAAGAAACTGCTACTGAGGTACAGGAGTTTAGCTTCTTTCAACACTCTTTGCCTATGTAGGACCGGCAGCCCAGAGACAGACTCACTATTGTTCCAATCTGAAGGTCAATGTGAGTTAAGTCTCATGTCTATTTCCTTCTCCAGTCAATTTGAGAGGGGCCTACAACAACTCTCACAGTGCCTGAAGGTCAGCCCTGAGTTCATGGCTCTTGAGTCAACCCTTGAAGGCCAGAAAAAGAAAGAGCTGACCAGGATCCCAGTAAGCCAGACATAGGTGGATGCTCTTGTGAGCCTATGGGCTTTCATTCAGAAATTTCATTTTTATTCTTTTAAAGATTTGTTATATTTTTGTGCATGGGTGTATGTCCATATATATATATGCAGGTTCCCACTGAGTCCAGAATAGGGTGCTCAGTCCCTTGGAGCAGAAGTTGCAGGTGTTTGTGAACCAGCTTGTGTGGATGCTGGAATCCAAGCTCTGATCCTTACCATGGAGCAAGTGCTCTCAATCAGTTAGAGTCATCTCCAGCTCCTGAGTCAGACACTGAAAAAGTCTCCTTTGTTTGCTTTTTCCTGGTTTCTGGGGCCTCAGCATGTTAAGCGTTTGTCTGAGATCCTATCTGTTTCCAATGGCGTGGGATAACTTATTATTTTCAAAGGGCTCCCACCTCACTTTTCTGTCTCTGTTTTCCTTACAGCTTCTCCTTCACATCAATGTCCAGGCACAAAGGCTTCCTCTCCTCACTTGATCTGGCTGTTACACAGATGAAACTGTGGAAGCCCTTTCAAGGTCCCTTAGACAAGACCACCAGAGAGGTGGCCTGACTGCCACCCCCAATAGCCCTGCCCTGTCAGAAGCCCCCACCCCACCCCCTTTCCTCATGGCAGTCAGGGGCACTGCTTCTGAGGGGATGATGGGAACAGGTGACAGAAATGGGTCAGGCAGTCTTGAAGACTCAGATCTTGATTCTTGTCCTTAGCTCTGTCCTGGCTGGAGGTCAGGAATGCCAGAAGTGTTTGGGGGCTCTAGTTCCTGCTCTGATTTCTTGTTATCTTTCTTTTCCATTTACACAGATGCCTGGACACTGTAGGTAAGGGTGTGACCAAAACACCAGTTCAGACACCTGAGGATGGAGAGGCACATGGATGGGACAACTGAACCAACCAACCCTTACAACCTCTTTTCTGCCATAAGTCATAGAAAAGTCCCCAAACTAGCAGCTTAAGGGCACTCCCATCCCCAGGAAGTTCTCTTGCTTTACAGGAGTTTGGCTTGCTTCCTCTCTCTTAAGCTCTTACCTGTGAACCTATAATGAATGTGTATGTAAAAACTCACCCTCCTCATGGCCCATGACATTCACTCAGTGAATTTGTGAGACAAGAGTCTGGAGCCACTGACTCAGTGGAAGGAGTTTTGCCTGACTTCTCACTACTGGCACTGTAACTCCTGAATTAAGTCTTCCTGAGGATAGAAAGCCTCTGTTATACTCAAGGACCCCACTTCCCTCATGTTTTAAAGGGGCTGAGAGGCCCATTTGAATGAACCCTTGATGGAGAGGGCATTGGTGTGTCTTTGTTCATTAGCAGAAAGCCTCTCCATAGAACCTCAGGATGAACCTCCTGGCAGTCAGATCGTCTTGTTCTGATGCAGGGCCAAAGATGCAGCTCAGATCCCATATCCTTGACAAAGAAGTCGTGTAACACAACAGATGAACAAGAATTAAAGGGAAAAAACTATGGAAATAGCTACCTTGACGGTTCTCTACCTCTCTCAGCCCTGTTACTTTGCACCCAAGGTCTCCAAAATGCCTCTAGGCTCCTGAGGGTTCCCCTCCTAGGCACTCCCCGACTTCTTCAGCTTACTTCCATCTTCCTTTTTGACCAGAAAAACTTTTCTGGGCGTACAGATCCTGGTGTCTTTTCTAGATGCCATGCTTTCAGAACCGATCTTTGGAGAGTCAAAAGGTTTTCCTCCTTTTTGTTTTTCTCTTTCTCTTCTCTCACCCCTACTCCTCCTGTCTGGCTGGGTCTTCCTGTAGCCTAGGCTGGCTCAAACACGTGACAGTTTCTCTACCTCAGCCTCCAACATTCTGGGCTGACAGTTGTGACCACCACTCCCAGTCTTTCCTTCCACAGAGGACAGATGAAGCACACTCTCCTGAAGGTTCACAGGAGAAGTGGAGTTGGGAAGGATGACCTTCATTAAAACACGTGAAGGCTGCTTCCCAGCTGGCAGGAAACCCAGCAAATTCAGACCCAGACACACAGAGGAAACATCTTTATTACAGCTGAGAACTCCACAGGGACTGAAGCTGATCATGGACTTTGGGGTCTTGAGCATGTGCAGCTGGGGGCAGGGACTGACCCTCTGCAGAGCAGCTACTCAGGAATGGTCAGCAGGATGTAATTCTGTGGATAGAGCAGAGTTCCTGTATGTGACCTCACTTCTCACACAACTCTGCTTCCCCGGGGCTGCTGCTGACATTCCAGAGGGGCCCACACCTGTGATTAAGGAGAGCCAGGGACTGAATGGATGAGGGCATAGAGCAGAGAGGGAGAGGAAGTCTTGGGAGTGCTTATGAGGACAGGAACACACTAGAATACGGAGCGCTTCCTGAGATACACTGAGCGGTGAACAAAGAGGATGTGGGAATGACTGGACAGCACTCATGGAAGGGTGTGCGTGTTGTACGCGGTCCAGCTCCAGATGGGTTTTTTCTTTCTTTAAATCATAGTCTGCCTGGTGCACTCTGTAACTTGCAACCTGAACAATGGCACAAGGCAGCCAAAAGGTGGATCAGCAAGTTAGCCTTGCTTTTCACAGGTCTGGTTATGAGGCAGAACTTCAGTGGCTGAAAGGCTCTGGCTGTGTCCTGGCTCTGGTTATTCGGATCTGTCACCCTGGGCAGCATCTGGCCTGATGGCTCCAGGTCTGGTGGCATCATTTTTAGGGCAGTCACAAACTCTGGATTACCTGGATGTGTTCCTCCAGGCCTACTCGAGTCAGGGTTTCTTTTGACTCTCTATGGTTCCTAGGCCCCGACCCCTGGAACTTTCCTTAAATGAACTCTCCCCCTTTGGGAAGAAATGGTAGCCAGGAAAGGAAGCAGGACAGGCCTGTGAACAGATCCTCCGGGGCCCTCTAAGCTTATCCCTGCTTCCCATCCCTGGATGTTTGCAGAGAGTGGGCACTGGGTATTACAGCACTGTTTGGGAACCAGTACACCTTAGTTCTAGGGATATGGGTGATCCTGGCTAAGATAATAGCCTTGGAGGTCAGATAAAGACTCCTACTTTGTCACCATGATCTTGCTTTCCTGCTTTTCTGAGCCTGAGTTTCCTCTCAAAGTGGGGAGATGTTCTTGATAAGCTCTGTCTTCTGGCTTCCCGAGGGAAGGTGTCACATTCAGCATGGTTGTGAGGTAGAGGTAAGGCTTAGGCTTCTAACTTCCTGTTCATTAGCTGAGCATCATGGGGGGACCCCTCCCCCTGTACCTACCTCAGAGAAGTCCACTTGGGCCTGGCCGAAGGAGATGCCCTTGATATTAGGCAGTGGGAGGTCATGCTCTCTGAGCCACTCTGCAATAGGAAGGCAGGAGCTCAGGGCCTGGTGGGCAGGGCTGCCTGGTGGATATGCTTGGGAGGTTCTGGTATACTACCCTTCCCAGCCCCTAGCCAGGGGACCTTCTGTATCCCAACCCCCATTAATCAGGCAGTCCTGAACAGCAAGTAGCCTAGAGAAAGCAGATGTTACAGGTGTACAACTTTTAACATTTCAATATGGCATTGTCATCTACAATGTGTTGGGCCATATTCATAGTAATCCTGGGACCCATGTGTCCTGTGAGCAGCAGGTTGTATACCCCTGATCACCTCCTGGTCCCCCCACACCTTCACCCGCGCCTGTCTTTCAAAGGAGCATTCTTACTAGATATATCCCAGACCTGCGAATGCATTGTTAGGAATCTGTCCTTTTCGACATTTAAGAAGAATCGATTTGTTGAAGATTGAAGGTTCCCTGTTACTCAGGAACTGCATTCTACCCAATTCTCACACTGAGAAATGCTGACATGTTGGTAGACATGCAGCATCTCACAAGGAGATGAGATAGGAGTCAGAATCAACTGGAAATGTGAGAAGTGTGGCCCTGATAGACAACACCCACCGACTATATCAAAGGAGGCAAGTATTCACAGACATGCTTCCTTGCCAAAAGTCTGAAAACTAAGTGTCAAATCAGTAGATTTACAGAGCTGGTCAGTTTGCTATTAGTGCTTCTGTCAACTATTTGGCTAGCTGACTTTTTATAAACGGACTTATGAAAAGTTGAGGGCCTGGCATGGCCTCCTCCTGTGCCCATCACCCTGTGTTGAACAGCCTTTTCCCACACTATTCCTCTCAGCCACTCTGGGATTGGAGTGGTCTGGCATCTCCTTGCTGGTCTAATGGTCTCATGGAAGTGGGGTGCTCGGGTGGATGGAGGAAGACAAGCCCATGCATTTGTCCTCAGTCCCCACTGGGTCCCCAGTCTGAGGACCTCCATTCTATGTCTCTCCCATGGGGCTTGCCCAAGTCTCCCTCCTGCTGTTTCTTATCTCAGGTTGTTTCATACAGCCCTCCTGGGTTTCCTCAATAGCCTCACACTGCCCTTTTCTCCTCTGGGTGGGGTTGTAGTCTGAGCAGCACCCACGGCACTGAGTAGCCTCCTGTTAGATATTCATGGCCATACCAACTTCTGGATCTGGCCCACTTTCTGGGCTGTCTCTTGACTCTTGTGGTATTCTGGGGTGTGACAGACAAAGCATTGAGTGACAGCCTGTGGTGGACACAGAAAGAGTGGGCCCTGTTTCCCCAGTCCCTACCAGGTTACATCCTTGCCTGTCTGGCTTCTCTGGCTGCCCTGATAGACCTTCTATTGCCATCTGCTCTGCGCCAGGCTAGGCTCTCTTTGAACAGATTGCCCAGACCATTCCCTGGCCACAACAATTCCTCAGGATGGAAGCCTGGCCAGCATTTGAGCCTCTGCCAACTTCTCAACATAATCGTTCTACTGTGACTCAGAGCATGAAAACCGACAATTGAGAAAGCAAGAAGTCAGGGTTCTAGATTCAGTCTGAGATTTGTTGGGTCACTTTGGACAAGTCACCTAACCTCTCTGGGTCTATGGAGTGGGCCCATCTGAAATATGAAAAGGCCTCAGGAATAAGTGGGACTGGGCTGTACATCTTATGTACATTTCTTTGGTGTGAACCATTGGACAGGACTCTAGGGACACAATGAGAAACATGATGACCTATGTCCCTGGGAAGCTCATCATGCAGTGGGGCACAGGTACTGACCAGATAACCATGGGTAATGGGCACACACCCTGCCCAAGGAATGGCCAAGCCAGGAAGCCCAGTGCTAGGATATCCCCTTCATCTTCCTGCCTCACCTCCCTCTCTGTCTACACTGCCTTGTTTCAGTATCTGAGGAGCCCAGAGTGAGACAGGGGGTTTTGGAAAATTCTGGATTCCTCATAGCTAGAGGGGAGAGTAATGCATTGTGACATTCATCTTTCAACCATTCTAGCAGGTCCAGACACCTATCCTGCTGGTCAGGTTTACAGTGTGAGCTGCCCACTTTAGGGATCCTATTGGCCCCAGTCCATCTAGTATTCCACTTGGGACCGTTGACAGCTGGCCCCATAGTTGCTGAGGCCAAGTGTCCCCTCCCCCGAGGGCCCCTTCCTTGTGACTTTACATCCTCCTGGCAGCTGCTTTTCAGGCTACCTGTTCATTCTCTGAGCTTGCATCAGTGTTAGCATCCTCTGCAACTGCATCTGAAAGCTTGGGTGTGTACTGCCCCCTGCTTTGCCTGGGGGCCAGTCTCAACCCTGGCAGCTGTTGACGGTCCCTGTGGACAGGTTTAGTGCTGCCTCCAGTGATGTGCTGTGATAGTCTGACAGAGAGATACAGTAAGACTCACGGTTATGGTGAGGCAAGAGCTGCCTCTTCAGGACCTCCAAGAGCAAGGCCTTCAGATGCTCTCCCTGAAATGGAAAACGACATACAGTTCAGCTCCTCCAGCTTGTGGGTGACTCTGTTGCATAGATACCACATGGATTTTGTAGAAGTTCTGCAGATACCACCTTAAGAAATACCTTAAAAACACCCAATGCCTTCCTATGTGAGCTAGGCTGGCTTTTAACCTACTATTTTTCCACCTTAGCTTCTTTTGTGCTGGGATTACAGATGCCACCACATTTGTCCACATGACACTTTTGAGGGACTTTGGAGGCTTTGGGTCAGATTAGTGAAGGGTCAGAGGAACAGTGAGGGGCCTAAAAAGGACCCCCACCACCAGCCAGGTACATCTCTGCAGGGAAGGAAGTGGTTAGGTCTATGGGAGCCCAGGATGCAATATCACAAGGACCAACTTCAGTCAGTGAGAGAGAAACTTCTAGTACTGAGAGCTGCTGTCAGTGGGACATATTGAAACAGCAGCCTCCCATTGCTAGGAGTGTGCAAGGAGGTCTTGCTCAGGGCTGTCCCAGCTCTTGAAGATGTTTTTTGTCTGGTGGGAGGCTGCTATAACTACACACATAGTTTTACATGTCCATGGCATGGATGACTTATACAGTATATAAACTGCCATCCTGGTCTCATGGATGTCCTGTGATATGTCATAGATGAGATTCCTAACCGGAGAAAAAGAGTCTTATTGTCTTTTACCCAGATTCTAAGCTAGTGAAAATCATGTGACAAGGATCGGAACATTCTGTAGAGCAGGCCTGGGTTCCAGGCCCAGTGAACTCTCCCTACACTGTTTCTTGGTTTATATGCTCACTCAGTCCCACCTCCCTGTGACTCTTCTGTCCAGGGTTGGAGTCTGTGACACACAGGCCTACAGAGAGGACTTACTGTGGCACCTTTCTTCCCAAGCAGGAGCAGGATCAACCCTTGGGGGATAGGTGCAGGTTGCATCAAAAGAGGCTTGAGGTCAGGGACTGAAGGCCAGTCGGTTCAGCCATGTTGCCCAGCTCCCTGCACCCCCGTGTTTAGCCTGGAGTACAAGATTGTTCCTTAAAAGGCTTGCCCTGTCCCTCATGGCTCTCCACCTCCTATCCCTTCTCTGACCCATCTGGGAATCCTGTTGGCTAGGACCACCTTCAAAAACCCGGACTCTTGCATGCTCGGCCACCACCACCTCCTGGGAACCTCATCCACCTTCCACTGGCTACACCCTGCTGTGGGCGCCAATGCCTTCTCTTAGTGCTGCTGCTTTTCTGCTCACACTGTCTCAGTCTGAGGAAAAGTCACCCAGTATGCCCTGCCCTGCTGCTCTGACGTCCCACACTCTGCTCCAGAGTCCTGGCTCTTTCCTGAACACGTGGGGCACATTTAGTCTTGGGTCTTTGTTCACCTCTTCCCTCATGTCCCCAGTCTCCCCACTGCTGCTTTGAGTCTTGGCTTAAAAGCTCACCTCAGTACATCTCCCAGACTCCTTTAAAAATGACTCATTTATTTTCACTTTTTGTGCATTGGTGTTTTGCCTACCTGTATGCCTGTGTGAGGGTGTTGGGTCCCCTGGAACAGGACTTACAAACAGTTGGGAGTTTTCTTGTGGGTCCACTGGAAGAACAGGTAGTGCTCTTAACCACCGAGCCATCTTTCCAGCCCCCATACTTCCTTCGAATGTTACTGACCCCACACTGACCCTGTTTCTCTCTTTATGATGCTGTCACCTGACTCTGTGCTATGTAATTTGCTTTGCTGAGGTTTATATGGGCTTTTGTCTGCTAGCATGTGAGGGGACCTTTGTGTTGATAACTGACTCATCTGTGTACCTAAGGCAAGGCCAGGCACATAGTAGGTACTCAATATTTGTTATATATGAAAGAATGAAACAGATAAGCCAGAGGCTCCAGGCTCCAGGGTGAGATGACATTTGGTGACTTGGGACTATTTACACTGTGCATTTATGGATCCTTTAGGACACAAGACTGAAGAAAGGGAGTCACCTGCTTCTCAGTGATGGTGGGATAGGGACCCAAGGTGACCACAGCGCTGCCAGAAGAAAGAGAGTAAGTCAGTGAGTGAGCTGGGGGCCTAAATATTGCCCTTGCCGGGGCACAGCAGGGGGCTGTCAACCCTAACCACCCCCTGTTTCCCATCCCCCACTTCCAGCTGTCTTATATTTCCCAAATCAAACCCATTACCTGTGTGGAATGAACTGGAGTTTCAGTTTCTGACTTTTTGAGGAGAACACAGCTTTGGAGAGGAGTTGCTGAGTTGGATCGGAAGCAGAGAGCAGTCAGAGCCATTTCCTACAGAGCTCCCACCCTTGCCCCTCAATCCTGTCCCATGCCCATGAACTTGTGTTCTGTCCCATGGTCCTTACCCTGTATCCATGCCACTGTCTCCCCCCATACTGTGCCTATGTGGCCTCACTGGAGGAGGGGGCACTGGTGTGACTGGCCACTCTGGGGGGGGCAGGGGAGGCCAGGCCTGAATCTGAGACAGGCTCAATGGCAAGGTCTTGGGGAATCATCATTTCTGGAAGCCAGCAGGGTCCTTACCTATGTACATGTTTGAATGAACCCAGGGCCTCATACTAGGATAGGGTTCTACCACTAACCTTGTTACTGTTATTATTATTTTTAATTTAAAATGGATTCTTGCTATGTTTCCCAAGTTGGTCTCAGACTCCTGGACACAAGTGATCCTTCTGCCTCTGCTTCTCAAGTAGCTGGGATTATAGTGGTCACCATCACAGCTGGCTCCCCTTGGTTTTGTGGGAGTGTAGATAGGCTCTAACTCACACGTGCCAGTTAAGGGCTCTTCACTACTGGTGAGGGATAGCTAATTCTTGGAATACAATGATGCCATCTAAGATCCAAGGGCCCCTTTCCATCCTTAGGGAGCCTCCCAGTGCACCTGTGACAGAGTGACTCTTCTGCTTTCTCATCTGATGCACTTTCCAATTTCCAGGTCAGGGGTTCAGAATTGAACCATTGGGATTTGGTGACGGGGGGGTGGAGCTGTATTTCCCCAAATTCTCCCCATCATGATGGGTATGGTTGCTTTGTGACTCAGCCATCCCTAGGGGGAGTTCTTTGAAAGCCCTAAGTGCACCCTCCAGGAGGGCCTGGAACTGAAATGTCTTCATGCAGGAGGAGGTCCTTAGTGAGTAGAGAAAGTAGAATGGGACCGTCTTAGCAGTGGGCACAGCTGCCCACACGTAGAACCGTTAGCAGATGGTGGCAGGCTTGGTCTCAGCCACCCCATCTCTCTGCTCTCAGTCTGCAGACTGGGAACCAAATCCACGCAGTTTCACTCACCCAGGCAACTGCACCAGAGGAGACATTGTTGGTCCCTTGCAGCATCAGTAAGCCCTGCTGGGTGACTGTGGCCCTGAAGCCGTCAAGGTGGACAGTGGGAGGATCCCGGGTGCTGATGATCAGTGCCAGTCTCCCTCTGGTCAGATTATGAGCCTGAGTGAAGTTAAAGCAGGGAAGGTAGAGGGAGGCTTAGGAGATGGCTTTCCCTGACCCTGGCTTGGAAGGGTGGGAACAAGACCCTCTTATGAGGCAGGGAACTGGATTTCTCTTCCAGTCCTACAACTCTTTGCTGTGTGGCTTAGGGGAAGTTATTTGGCTCCTCTGAACTTTTATGAGGTGAGATCACATCCTTCCTGTCCTGGGCATACACAGTGCTGATGTTGGGAGTTAAGGTCCTGGATCTACCTTTGTGAGCTGTGTAGCCTGAAAGAAGATTCTTAGTCCCTCTGTGCTTTACAGTTTCATCCTTGTAAAACACAGGTTAGAACAGTACCCACTCCATAAAGTCGTGTGGATTAAACGAGTTAACTGATGTGCTGTGCTCAAGAGACATGAGCACCTACAACGCTACAGGCTTCTCTGCTGTAATTGCCTATCTGGTGAGCACAGAAAGTTTTTTGGAGAGGTCACTAGTTCAGATTCTAGAGCAGGGACTGGGATCAAATCTAGTTCTCCCAGTTACACAGCAGTGCTGCCTTCACCTTGTGGAGCCCCGCCTTGCTGTTATCTAGGTGAGTTTTATCTGGGTGGGCCATGCTCAGTGGGGGACAATGACAGCCCATGGCCACAGTCACTGTCTTGACTGCTTCCTCTTGTTTTACATCTCTGATACTATAAATGAGTGCAGCGACTTCCCAGCAGAAAAATGGAACTTGTTCATAGAATCTTTAGGCCCAGCCTGCCTAGCCCAGGGTGCTGGAGGAGGGGCAGGCACCATACCTACCTCTGGCTGGGGCGTCGGGCCACTCTGGGACAACAGCTCCCAGAGGCCGGTTTCCTAGAAAGGCAAAGACAAAGTCAGCTCTGCAGTCCTGCAGGTGTGTTCTGAGCAAACCGGGGGCTCAGGGAGATAACTGCCTTTACTGGAGGCACTGCCTGTACACGAGTTAGCCTCAGCTCAAGGCAAGTCACAAGTCCGCCTTCTCTGAGCCATTTATCTTGAAAGGTTAACTTTCTGTGGTTTTGATCATTTTCATCTTAACATTTTATTAATTTTTTTTGAGCCAGTGTCTCACGTATCAGTCTTGCCTCAGACTCACTGTGTAGCTGATCTTCTGATCCTCCCCACAAGTGCTGGGATTACAGGTGTACCCAAGTGCTGGGATTACAGGTGTACCCAAGTTCTGGGATTACAGGTGTACCCAGTGGCTGAGATCAAAGCCAGAGCTTCAAGTGTGCTAGGCAAACACTACTCACTGAGCTACCCTCACAGCCTCTTAACTATGAAACATGCTATTAACACAGTGAAGCTGAGAGAGTGTCATAGAGAACATTTGCATGCTCTATACAGTCTTCTATTAGCAATTCTTACCTTCGCTTTATCATACCCTTACTCACCCATCTATGCTCTACTGATTTTCAGGGAGGTATTGGGATTGAACTCATGGCCTCACACATGCTGAGCTCATTCTTTTTTTTTTTATTTTCCAGTTTAAATTTAGATAAGAAACAAGGTTGCTTCACAAGTCAGTTCCAGGTCCCTCTCCCTTTCCCTCCCCTCCTCCCGTGCCCTCCCCCCAACCCTCCCCCCCCCCGTTATCCCCTCATTCCCCCAGGGAGGGTGAGGCCCTCCATGGGGGTGTCCATAGTCTGTCATTTCATATAGGGCAGGGCCTAGACCCTTCCCCAAGAGTTCAGGGTGAGAGTGCACCTCACATTGTTCTATGGGAGTCCAAAGTCCGTGTGTATACTTGGGATGGGTACTGATCTGCTGCCCAAGGCTCAATAGATTACCTAGGCCGCTGAGCTCATTCTTGACCGCTGAGCTACAGTGAATCCCTGTCCATCAGTTTTCCAAAATCACAAATCATCACAGAGAAAACTATAGCAGTGTCTGAAGTAAAATTCACCCAATGTATCTTTTCTTTTCTCTCTAAATACAATTCTCAGAAGTAACTATTGTTGACACTTTGAAGTATATCCAGATGAACTTTTTCTGCTCACATGTAAGCATGAACACAGAGAGAAGCATTCTGGCCACATAGCCCTATGCCTTGTTAGTGGCACTCAGTGCCAGGACCTATAGAACTATCTTGTTCTTATAAAGCATGGTCTTAGTTCACACTGCCTGTAGTCTCAGTAAGTTTAGTGCTTAGTGATGGGCCTTGAATCAACTTTGGTTTTTACTATGTAGCAAATGAGGCTGCAGCTGTGTTCCCGCCCACCAGTGTAAGAATTTCTTCAGATTAGGGTTCAATCCTAACTGTCTCACAGCTGTCACACTTGTGTGGGATACAGGGACGAGTGGTAGGAGACAGAAGACCTCAACTGTAGTCAATCCCATTTGGGATGACTTTGAGCAGTCCTCCTCCCCAGTTTGGGTGCTCATTTGTGTAACTATTAAAAATAACTTTCTTTTATGATGTAAAGTTTCTGATGTGGCATGTCCCACTTGTGGTGTCATGTGGGCACTTGAAAAAATTTCATATTTTGAAGCGTTTTTTGTTTTCAGATCTGACTTACAGGTGCTCAGCATACATGCACATGCCTTTTGCATATATAATTTCATATACACATGTAACTATATGTAAAGTTAGAATGAGGTAAGTCTTTTGAAAGAGTAAGAGAAAGGAAGGAGAGAGGGGGGAAGAGTACATTTTCTTACATCTTTAGATGTAGCAATCTTGAGGGGACACTGTGAGGAGATGACACTTATACTGAGACTACCAGTGAGAGAAGAGTGTTCCAGGCAGAGAGTCCAGTATGTGCAAGCCCTGAGCTGGGAACCAGTGCAGCCTGCATGGCTAGAATGCAGGGAGTAAGAGACAGAGAGGCCAGGGATCATATTGCCCAGACCCATGCAGAGGAGCCTGGTTTTCACTCTGGGATGGGGAGAAGCTACTGCAGGCTTTTGAGCAGTGATACTGGTGGCCTTGCTCTTTGTTCCCATCAGCCCTTGGGAAGCCCTTGTCCTCCTTGACCTGTGTGTGACTCCTCACCACTGCAGTCAGAGGCCAGCCTCAGGTATGCCTTCCCTAGAGACAATATGTAGGTGTCCTTCTGGCTGTCCTAGCTGCTTTAAGCAAAGCCAGCTGGTTATTTATTGTAAGAATGTGCCATTAGAGCCTGGCCTCTGCCAGGCCACACACTGCATTTCCAGTGGCTCCCTCTCACAGGCACCTTCTGAGACATTGCCTGTGAGTTCTCAGCTAATGGACTCTCCCCTGGAAAGTAAGAACATACAAGTCCTTACGCTCTCATACCCGGCTCCCCACCCCCACCCCACCTTTGTCTGGAGATCAGAGGGTCTGGCTGCAGGCTTGTGCTGTGAAACCTCCCCATCCTCAGATCCCAGGAAGGCTCTGAGCCTGTCTTCAGAGACTGCCATGTGTTGCTCATTGTCTGTCTGTCTATCTGTGGTGTTAAAACTCATTTACCATCTCAGTGTCCTCTTGAACACCCACCCCCAAACCTCTCATGAACCACACCATTTTCTTGTTCAGTTTTCTATTCCCCTATGAGACTCTGATCTCTACATGATAGGGGCCCTGTGTTCACAGGGTCAGCCCACAGGAGGCTTTCATGCGTTTTTTTGTATGTGTGTGTGTAAGAATGGGTATGTGTTATGAGGAGAACAATAAAGGCGTGTGAGTGTTCCTCTTCTCAGATAAAGGGGCTTCTATTAAGGGTTCTGAAGGATAAATAGGAGCTAGTCAGGTTAGAATGGTTGAGTCCAGAGTGGGGAAGTGACTTTTGCTACTGGGGCCTTGGCCTTTCATGTAAGAAACAGGGCTGGAATATTCTGCCCCCCTCCCACTTCCCAGAACTCACCAAGGAGTCTTGGGGCTCCACAAAGATCTCCTGGTTGGTGTACAGACAGGACAGGATGTCATTGTAGATTTCTATCCAAAAGGCAAAATCTGCCTTGCTGTCCTGGGCTAATCCTGGGAGAGGTGGGGGAGCCATATGCTTTGACCTTGAGGCCCGCTGGTGTGGGCCACAGGGAGTCACAAGCTTCAGAGAAATGATGGAAGAAAGATGGTCAGTGGGGACCTGGTGGACACCTGGTCACATCTCACCTTGCTGACCACAGCAGGCACAGTTTCCCAGCATCACCAGAAGGAAGCCATTATCGTCACTATCTGGCCATGAGGAAACTGAGGCCCAGAGACGTGACATCACTCACTCAAATCACACATGAGAAAAGGTAGAGCTGAACCCCTAACCTGACTTTCTGGCCTCCATCAAGCTCCACTCCATTCTCTGAACCCTGTTCTTCCTGGGCCCCCTGTCCCTCCTACCTCCCATTATAGAGAGACCTCAAGGAGTGGTGGACAGGAGCTGGGCAGTCCTCAGCCATTCTGTCCTCAGTTTCCCCATCTGGGAGCTGCCTCAGCTGCTTTCCTGCTGGGTCTGACTCACTTGCTGGCCAGCAGCCTGTGGCCTCCCCGTTCCCCTTCCCCTTTTGCTGACCATTCCCTTTTCTCGTTCCTTGCCTTCCTGTCTTCCTCTCCCTCCTTGTTCCCCAGCCTGTGGGTTCTCCAAGGGCCCATGGCAGCCTAGGGTTACCCACCTGCAGTCTCATCAGGATGGCTCCCTCTGTGAACTCCGTGCTGGTCAAATAGTACTGGAAATCACTGGGACCCGAGATGATTGGAGCTATTGTGCAGAAATGAAACCTAACTCAGTCAGAGGTAGAGGTGGGAAGGGTGCTGTGAGGGGCAGGGAGAAATTTCTTCTCCTCTGCTCAGCCTTAAGTTCCTTGATGGCTGAGCACATGCCTCCTAGGACAAGGGACATTTATTGCGCACTGGCTTTGTGCCAGGCTGTTAGTATTGTTCTACCAGGCCTTATCTATGGGCCTTCCATTGATCCTGTTTAACAGATAGGGAAACTGAGGCTCAGAGGGGAAGTGATATATGAAGCTTACAAGCTATGCTGTCCCCTCTTTTTCCCCATTAGAAAGTATCCTCCCTGTAGGTAGGGCTGTCCTGTCTCTGGGTATATCCCTACATTCAGTGCCTGGCACATGACAAGGGACAGTTGACCAGCAGCAACATACGGAGAGTGATGTATAGCAGATCTTCCAGCAGGGAGTTGAGCAGGTTTGTGGTCACAGGGCACACCTACAGGGAAGGGAAGAGGGGGGAGTCCTGCTGGCATGGGGCTGAAGTAGAGGGGCTTTCTTGGGGGCCATACCCTTCCCCCGGTGACTCACAATCTTCTGGAGGAGGAACGGCAGCGACTCATCCAGGATCTCAGTCACCAGTTTCAGCAGCTGGTTTGGCAGCAGGGTGTCTGTTCTAGGGGAGGGATGACAAGGCAGAGTCAGCCATGCCATGCTCCAAAGGTGTGGGCAGGGAAGCAGGGGCTGAGCATTACTGAGGCAGGACAGCAGGAAGGCCCACAGTGGTCCCTTTTACTTCCCTGGCATTCCCACCTCCTCTCCGTTTTCTTCTTCCTGCCTTCCCCCTCCATGCGGTTTTCTCTCCAATTTTCTGCATTATGTCCTGATTCGTATTCCCTGCTTCATGAAGGTCACTGGAATTTTCAAGCAGGAAGTGGCCCCACTGGCAATGGAGAGATCACTTCCTGCTTCCTGGAGGTTTGGGGCCGTGTAAATAGATGAAGTATAGATCCCCTTGGGTGTCAGGTTCTGTGCTATCTAAGTAGGCCAGTACATCTCCTCCCCAGGACCACTCCATGTGGGTTGGGTTCTATGAGCAATGCAACCGAGGCTGCAAGAAGTCAAGACCTGGCCAGGACCCACTGTGTGGAGTAGCAAAGCAGAGGTTGAACCTTAACCATGGCCTTCATTGTGGAGGCAGGAGAGGCTGACAAGTGGCATGTACAGTTAGTTTGTGATTTTAAAGGAGAGGCAGCCCCCACCCTGGGTTTCAGAGAAGGCCCACTGCAGAAAGTGCTGGGCCAGTGCAGGAAGAGCCACCATCTATCACACCCAGGGGAGGCTCAGAAGCACCAGGTACTCACTGCTTCAGGACCTCAATGCTCAGGCTTCCAGGTGGCGTATGGCACTCCTCGAAGGCCACCTGGGTCTTGTTCCCTATCTGTTCTAGCCGTACTCCAATGCGTATGTTCTTGATGACTTTTAGCCACAGGACCCTGTAGGGACAATATATCTGGGCAGGCTCCCAGCGACTCCAAGGTTGAGACCAGAAGTCATGAGCTGGTTGATGCTGCCTTCAGCAGGCTTGCATTAGACACTAGGAGAGTGCTTTAAAATATGGAATCTGCTGGGAGACTGGGCAGCACCAAGCCAGTGTCCTCACAGGGCAACAGACAACTGCATTGAGTATGACCTTGAGATGAGACACATGCTCTTCCGACTGTCGAGGTCCATGGGTCATGAATCTTACTAGTGCCACACTATCCTAACCAAGGTAATAATATATTCCTCGGGGAGCAGAGACACAGACACATTTCTCAGGGCCCTTACTCTGTCATGGTATTTTCTTGGGCTTAATCTCTCATGCTAGCTAGCACTAACTACGGTCCTGCTTAGCTTCTAGCACTGGATGAGATCAGATGCATTCCAGGTCCTAGAATGCTCCCTCATTAAGTTGTAAAGTCACACCAAAAAGTCATGTTCACAAGAAAGGCAGGAGCTTGCATATTCCCAAAGCGCATTGTGACTCTCCTTACTTCCAAACCAACACGGGTCTGTGTCACTGCTGTTGCAGGTGGCCACATGAACAAGCATTCACAGTTCAGGGCTGTGCAGGTGGACACTTGGCTTACTCTAGTAGGGAACTGGAATTAGACCTGGTTATAGACTCATGCCCAGGGAATAGATACCCTTGCTTCAGTTGCTCAGCCCGGGAATCTCAGACCCTTCCCAGACTGCCCCATTAGTGCCAGTATGCCCCCATGACAGATAGCATGGGAGGGGGCCGTCAGTGCAGACCCACTGTATGATCCTGGGCAGGGCTTTCCCCCATTCTATGCCTCAGATTCCCTGCAAATCAGTCTTTGAAATGTTCCCAAGTGGAAAGGACTTGTGATCCTCATTAGTCTTGCTTCCTGGCAGCGAGTGTGGAGGAAGTACCATGTGCACTTACTCCAGGAGTGAGAGGTACAGTTTGCAGCGCAGTGTGATCTGTAGCAGGCTGTCACTTAGAATTTCCAGGGTGACTTCTGGTCCCTTGGCATCTTCTATGACCAACCTATGGGAGGCATGAGCGTGAGATGTCTGGCTCCATGTGTATCTGGAAAGGGAGTATCTAGAATGGGAACTGATGCCAGGAGAGTGGAGATGGCTTTGGGATAGCATGTCCTTGCCCTCTGACCTGCCAGAGACCACAGAACTCAGTTTTTCGTCTCTAAGCCTTAAGGATCTTACCCTTCTCTGGGTCAGCTCTAAAAAACCAGGAACGAGGCTTAAGTCTATGCACACACGACTGTCTGAATCCAAGTACAAGCCTCAGGGGACAAGGCTGTGGCTCAGTTGGAGACACCTTTTCTAACATACATAGGAATCCTGGGCTTGATCCCCAGGTCTAGGGAATGAGGCTCCCTGAGCTTCTCAAGATAAAAGCCAGCAGGCAAGAACATGGAGAAGCAAGAGTCCTGGCAGCCCCTCTGCCACCCATAGAGGACCTATGGTCTCCGCTGAGCACCCCCAAGCAGTACTCCCTTCCGAGGCTTCAGGTGCCTCCTGTCCCTGGGCTCAGAGAGGTCAAGCCTGCACTATGGGCACCAGTGTGGGCGGGGGATTCATTTGGAGCCACAGAGTCAGGCAGCAGCACCTTCATCACAGGGGAACTGACCACCAGTGTGGAGCCTTCTGGAGGGATTTTTTTCCTCTTTGTTTCAAAGCAGGGTCTCATACAGCCTAGGTTAGTCTCACACATCCTATGTAGCTAAGGTTGGAACTCCTGATGCTCTTGCTCAGCCTGAAGGATATTTTTAGGATCGTACCATGTGGTATTTTCCTTTGTCCCTTCCACGCCATGTCCTTGCATAGGAGAGGCTTGTAGCCAAGGCATGACTAGCCAGGTAGGGTAGAGGAATCATTGGACAGTACCAACACTTGGCATGGCTGGGGTAGTATTAGTTTATGCTGTCTCCCAAGTCTCCCTGGACAGTTCTCCCCACACTATAGTTTCATGACTTCTCATTCCACTTCATACTCACCAGAAAATCCCCTTTTGAGCCTGGGATCTTAGGACCTATGGGTCTTTCCTTGATCATGTTGGGGAGGGACTCATGCACTCAGGGCTTAGCCTATGGCTATGTAGGTCATCTTGAGGGGGGCAAGCCCCCAATCAAAATCAGTACCATTCATTTAGGCAGGTTCTTGTTGCATTGGGAGGCTCCAACCCAGGGCTTTCAGGGTTAAACAGACAGAAGGGTGGGGCATCTGGGGACCGGCTAAGAGACTAAAGACTTGACACTAACATTTGACATGTGGAAGATCAGGACAGGGGTGGCAAGATTTTCATTTTGAGGACAACCAGAATTATGGGTTGCACTGCCTCCAAGTTTAAGCTGAGGTCCTGGACCCTAGTACTCCAGAATGTGACCTTATTTAGAAAGACACTGACTGCCACCATGACCAGTAAAGATGAAGTCATACTAGAGTAGCTTAGACTATAACCCGACATGGCTGTGTTCTTACAGGAATGGAATTTGGACCCAGGGAGGAGCCCTGTGAGATGGCAGTATCAGGCTTCTGGTACCAGCACCAGTGATTTCTGCTGGATGCCAGGAGCAGGAGTTGAGCCATGCTTCCAGGAAGCAGCTGCAGATCCCTGCCCTGGCCTTCATCTTCCAAAGGGAGACAACTTGACTCTGAGCACTTCAGTGTGGCTGCCCTGGAAAACTCATGCAATTGGGAAACCTAGATTTTTGAGGAAAATTCATATAATTCGAATGCATAAAGCATGGGGAAACACAGAGGAGGCCACACTACCAACCCACTTTGGTGTAGCCCTTTATTCCTTCCTAGGGGTATTTGTGGAGGCCTGGAAAGGAAGCTACATAGTAGGAGGAAACCTGCTTCTTGCCTTTGAGGTTGTAGAGATGCTGTGGACCCCTGTTGCCCACCCCTCTCTGTTCTGTTGACAAGGAAAAGCCCCCTGAGGGAGAAGAGAAGCAGAGGCTGCCTCTTTGGCCACTCACCCAGCTGTTTCTAGTAGCTTCTTCAGCTCAGGCATGGTCTTCCCAGAGAGGAGGTCCCCAACAAGTGACAGGTCCAACCCATTCTTCTTCCCAACAAACTCCTTTCTGACGAAGGGCAGGGAGTCCAGGACAGACACATCCTTACTTGGGGATCCAGTTACTGGCACCCTGATAATATTCTTCAGGACCTGGTGCTCTGTGAATAGATCTGAAATGTCTGGGGACAGAGCATCTCCTCAGGATTCATTCCACCATTTAGCAAACACCCACTGGCACTTGTGCCCAGCGGGCAGATAAGACAGCCATTCAGCAACAAGTTTCTGTGAGGAAACCAGAGCTCAGGTTTCAGTGTATTGTCCAGGTTGGTCTCAAACTCCTGGGCTCAAGTCATTCTCCTGGCTCAGTCTCACCTAGCTACCAAGCTCAACTGGCAAGTCTTAGTCTTCTGAGATCAGGGAGCAGCGTGGCTCCCACTGCCCTGGGGTTGACATGCTAGTCAGGGAGAGAGACTAACTAGCACGTGGGTGAGCACGTAAAGTATGTTTTGTTATAAAGAAAATGTAACAGGACTGAGTCAAAGCATGATGAGTGAGAAGTATCTGCTTCAGACATAGTGGTCAGGGAGGGCTGCTCTGAGGAGGAGGAAGGGGCTTGGTACAGACATCTCAAGGAAGTGAACTATCTCATTATGGAAGGGTCTTGGGAGAGCAATAGCTCATGCAAAAGCCTCAAGGGTATGAGCATGGTGAATTTGCAAACCAGATCTTTGAGCTGGGACAAGTACCTCACAGACAAGAGGCAGGGAGAACAGTAGACAGACAGACAGCAAACAGACAGACAGACAGACAGATAGGTTGCCAGGTACTGTATCTGGACAAGACCATTGGGGTTTCACCAAAGGGCGTGGGAGCCCAGAAGGAGAGACCTAATTGCTACCGGGAGATCAAAGTGTCTTCTGGGCCCAGTCAGAGCACACTACCTTGAGAAGGATGAAAAGGGAGAAGGGCCCACACCAACCTAGGAGGCAGCCATGACCTCTGTGCGGTGGACACGGAAGGTGGCAGGGAGGACACTGAAGGTCTGGGGCTTTGAATGTCATGGTAGGAACTGCTGATGACAAGTGGGAGCCACGCAAGTGTTAGAACACAGGAGGGACAAGGGCAGCATGAATGACCAGTAAGTGGGAGGCCAGAGGAGAGCTGTCCCCTGCTCTGCCTCCTTGGAGGTCATGCCTCTCCAGTCTCACCCCTTGAGGCTCACCTGTTTCCAGCTGGCTCCAACTGATCCTCAGGAGGAGAGGACTGTGGGTCATCCCTCGGGCTTGGTGCAGCAGCCTGCAGCACAGCAGTAGTGTCCACAGCAGCAGCATTCTCCTGCTAGGACCTGTAACAGACCTGTGGCCATCGAAGTGAGAGCTTGTGCCCTGTGCACAGACCTTCAGCCCTGTGTTCCCCACTCTGTACCCCCATATTCATCTTCTTATGTCCTAACAGTCCTGCTCTGGGACAGACTCACTCATGGTAACACAGTAAGTGGCAGAGCTTGGATCTGAACCCAGCGAGACTGGATGTTAAGAATCTCTGCTTTATTTCATCAGGTGAAGATAGGGCACAGCCTGAGTATGCAGGTGCTGTCTTTTTTGTCCTTACCACTCTCTGAATGGGACCTTCTAGAATCTCTCAGGATGGTGTCACCAGCTTTCTTAAAGGACTACTCTTATAAGCCAGGCTCTCGAGTGAGGGGTGGGCACGTGATGGGAAGTCAAGGCCCCTGGCCAGGCCTTGGCACACTCAAGAGTTCTTCAGGGGAAGAATCACTCCTCTTGGCCCTGTGTAGCCAGGGGCTTTGGCCAAAACTGATAAAGCCTGGTACTGAGGTGGGGGTGGGAGGCAGGAGGGACAAGCTCAGAACATGGCCTCCAGACCCCAAGGAAGAAGTGGGCCGGGCATGGGCCCTTCCCCTTGGCACATCTTCAGCTCTTGTGAGGGGTGCAGAGGCTGCTAATGCAAGATGTGACTGGCACGGAACCCAAGGGGGTGAGGATATGTGTGTGCATGTGCGTGTGTGCGTGCGTACGTTGTGTGTGTGTATGTGTGTGTGTGTGTGTGTGTGTGTGTAGCAGTTGGAGGGCAAAGAGGAGGCTGGCAGTGTCTGTGGCTACCTTGTCACTGCTATTCCTACACCTTTCCTATGTATGTCACCTAGGCTCTCATCACCTCATTTCTACCCAGACGTGGTCACCAAAATTACAGACAGGTCCTGGAGTGGTTGTTCTGATTTTGTAGGCGCTGAGTAATGGAGAACAAGCCATATTCATTTCCTTCTAAGCCTCATCCAGACTATGACAAACTTACCTATGGCTTTGAGGGGATGGTGAAGGTCACTGTGGCAACTCAATGTGAGCACAGGGCCCAGTGCACAGGAAAGGTTAACAAGCTGTTACAACTATTTACATTCCATACATAAGGGAGCCAAGATGCAGAGCTCTAAGTGTCTGCGTCAAGCTCAGATAGCAGGCCCAGGAAAAGCTGGGAGTTGATTTCAGGGCCCAGAAAGGGCACTGAGATTTGGTGGTTCTACCACAGCAGTCCCAGGCCTGAGTTCTTTGCTGCCTATCTGTTCCTTCCTGCCTTGTGGGGACCCTTCCTCCTGCCCGGCTCTTCATCCATCGAGCTAGGTGAGCACAGCTCCTTCATTATTGGGAGGTGTGGCCAGCCCATGGCAGACAGGACTATCTGTTGGCTTGGGATTTTCTACACAATTTTCTCCTTTACAACTCAGGGCACAAGCAGGACAGGTGCTAGCTCCATTTTTTTCTTTTTGTTTTAAACTTAGTTCTTTGAGATTATAATATCATTGTATCATTTCTCCCCTTCCCTCTCCACCCTTTCCTCCATGAGTTCCAACTCTCACCTGGAGGTTCAGGCCTGGATGCTGGTGGAAGATGGAGTTCCAGGAAGCAGTACCTGGGAAGTGCAGGGCTCACCTTGGCTTGATCTGAACATCTTCCTTCAGCAAACAGCACAGACTGGTAGCACATGTCCACAAGATTTGGTGGAATATGTTGGAGAAGACTAGGCTCTTTATTTATGTTTTTTAAAAAAATTTATGTGTAAGTGTGCATGCCTGCATGAGTTTATGTGAACCACATGTATGCATGTGCTTCGGCAGCCAGAGGGCACCAAATTCCCCGAAACTATAGTTACAGGTGGCTCTGAGCTGCCTGATGTAGGTACTGGGTCCTCTGTAAGAACAGTAAACACTCTTGATCTCTGGTCCACCTCTCCAGCCCAAAGAGTGGGTCTTTTTTATTTTATTTAATGTATATGGGCGTTTTGCCTGTCTTTATGTCTTATATACTCATGTGTGTACTTGGTATACACAGAGACTGGAAAGAAGGCCTTGGATTCTCCTGCACTGGAGTTACAGATGGTTGTGAGCCTTGACATGGGCTCTAGGAATTGAACCCAGATCTTCTAGAGGAGCAGCCGAGTGCTCTTTACCACTGATACATCTCTCCATGCCCACGACTTGGGTCTTCTTGAAACACAGTCTTGAGATGTAGCCCAGGCTGGTTTCCAACCAGTAATCCTCCTGCCTTAGCCTTCCAAGAAGCTGGGGTTATAGATGGGTGTCCCTAAAGGACAATATGTAGGATATCACCTGGAATTTTCTCTTTGCTGTTTCTGAGATTCAGATTGAAGAGACAGAGTTTTCTCTCTGTCAAGGAAAGGTACAGAGGCTCAGAGCCCTGCCTGTGGGATCTGGTAACTCATACCTCTAGGACTTCCTTTCTCTAGTCAGGGAAGGCAGTTTCAGGGTCTTGTCATTGTGGGGCCAGCACAGGAGCAGTTAGTCTCCTTTCCCTTGGAAGGTAGAGAACAGAAGAGAGGTGGTGAGGAATGAGCCTAGAAGAGCAGCCAGTGACAAGCTGCTGACTGCTAATTAGTGGTGATGATGACTTACCAGAGCCCCAGTTTGTCACTTAGGTGAGGGTAGAGTCTTGCCATAGGCTGTGAGGAAGGTAGGTGATTAGTCATCTCTAGCATCCCTCTGGTGTTACCCACATGGAGCAAATGGTCTTGGTTTGGGGTCCCAAGCAGTAGGCTGATACCCAGACTGGAGTGGCTGTACCTAGGAGATGACCCACACAACTGTGGGGAGTGGGATGTGACCAGCTGCTTAGGGCACCCACGCTCCTTCCTGTGGGACAGCCGGGAGCCACAGGGGAGCTTGGGTGTCAGAGCTGTTCTCCGCCCATGGACTAAGGATCCTGGGCTTATTCATCTGCCACCTGAGGAGGTCCCAGGGGATGATGGACCTGGAGCCTTGACCATAGCTGTGTTAGGGAAAGGCCTTCATGCTTCCCCACTCAAATCTGGATGATCCTGCTTTATGGGGAATAGGTGGGTACTACAGACCAGAGGTCTGACAGAGATTGTGTTCTGACAACGAGTACTGTCCCTTCCCAAACACTATCCCTGTCTTCCTGTAAGGGCTCTTGTGTGACTGAAGGCTGTGGTTGGGTGTGGGCACAACCCAGGCCGAAAGAACAGAGGTCTATTGTCATGTCCCAGAACCCTGGGGCTTCAGGGAAGCCATAGAGACAATGGCCCTCATGCAGGTCTGAGTGGGAAAGGCCTTGGTGATAAAGTGTTTTCTGAGGTCAGGTGACAAGTGTCTGTGATGCTCTGGTGCCACTGGCTGAGTGCCTAATGGGTACTTCATTTAATCTTCACCTCTGCTCTGCAAGGTGAGACCATGATTCTTCCCACTTGGCAGAGAATGGCAAAGAGGCCCACCTAGGGGAAGTTGCATCCTGTCTGTCTGCCTCCAGAGCCACAGGGTTCAGATAGCATATGCCCCACCTGCCAACAAGATCAACACAGTGGGTGTCCCCCACTCAAAAGTCACCCAAAAGGGAGGTAATCCCAACCATGGTTACTATCCTTCTGTGGTCATACAGTTTCCATATGACAAAGACTTGTCCAGGTTGGTTCAAAGAGTACTGAACCCCACACATATGTCTCTGTCTGATCCTAGGCCTGCCAGAGGCAGAGTGACTCCCATGCTGGACAAAACCACCCTGACAACAGGAGCCACTGACAAGTGTTTATTGATTGCAGGAGATAGTTTACATAGACGGCTCTCACACTTCTGGTGGGACCTGGCCTGAGCTGGCCAGCTACTATCCAGATCTTCATCACCAGGGAGGAGAGCCAGGGTTCTCGGAGGAATCTGGGGTGAGCTTGAGGGCACCCTGGAATTGAAGAGGAGTCAATCTGGTTAGACTTTCGTTTTGGTTTGATTTTCACTTCCTGCTTTTTTGGGGATTACCCTCCTTTTGTCCTCCATGAAGGAAGCCCTGGTGTTGGGGGGAACAGTCATGGCCTTGAACATGCATGTACAGAGTATATAACATGGCTGTAAGTGGGGGATTTGTATATGAATAGTGATTTCTTCCAGCACTTTGTGGCCCATTCAAAGTGTTTGTGTGCAGTGGCTGGATTATATGTGACAGTTGTCCTCAAGCCCACAGTAGAACTCTAAGAAATTTTATTGATGCAGATTCCTGGCTGTCTCTAGAGGACACCTGAGTTTTAAACGATTGTCTATTTAAAACAAATCAAAACAAAACTAAGTGTAATGATAAAACCTGCCCTGGTCTATTCCCCAAGATTGTATTGTGAGCTCTTCACAGCTAGCTCCAAGCAAAATAGAAGTGAACGATGAGCATTGCCATCTGTGTTCTATCATCTCACGTACTGGCTTTAGCCCACTCTGTTTTTCACTTTCTTCACACTGATTTAAATGTGTGGTATCACCCAGCTATAGAACACAATCAATGAACTGCTGGCTACAGAGAAACCAATAGAGCAAAATAGGACATTTGGAAATAGGCAGATATGGATTTGGATCTGTGGATTTCTCCATAACTAAATGTCTCAGGAGCTTAGTGGTCCTAATGTGCAGCTTGGGGACAAATAGGGACTTATAAGAGTCACAAGTTTGGTTCAAAGTGCCTCTGTAGAGCGAGGCTAAACACCTCGTCATAGAAGGGTGGTCAGCAAGTCATCTGTTTTCAGCATCCCTCCCTCTTCTAAAGAGCCAGAGGTTTCCTTTTGTTTTGTTCATTGTTGTGGCCAGTGTCTGTATACAGTAGGGGCTTAATAAATGTCCACTAGCCAGGAATGTTACTTGTTTATACTTTGCTGACTACACTGGGGACAGCTGCACAGACAACTGAGCAGTAACTCTGGTCTCCACAAGCTGAGGTCTCTTAGCCACACAGGTGTGTGTGTGTGTGTGTGTGTGTGTGTGTGTGTGTGTGTAGTGTAATCTGAGGTCTACAGCGTTGGGTGCTGCTTT